TATTATTTTGGTCTCGTGTGTAACCACAAAGGCCATTAGCCTTCCATTGCCCCACACCTGGTCCTGCCTGTGATTGTACTCAGTTCAAGCATTTGCGTTGTTAAAAAACAAACACACACCGAAGACTTGTAGGCATTTTGGATTCTGTTCCTCCAATTATTGTTGAAATGCGTATTTTGTTCTGAGAATCACAGGGTCGGAATCTATTGAAAGCAAAGTTTGAATGCTTCAAGATGTGAGAGTTCCTTCGATATTTAAAAGTGTCACAACTATCTATTCTGTTCTTCTTTGCATTTCCCCCCCTCTAGGTTCACAGTTGCTATGTCTTACTTCGCCATTTACCTGACACTTGAGAGACTCCATGGGAGCCTGTACCTCAACTTCGCCATCACGGTTCTGGTGCCAATACCTGTCAAGTTTATCTTTTTCTTCGCTGTGAACAGGTAAAAAGTTCTTGATTTTCTTTCACTTTTGAATAAAACACTTCGCTACTTTTATTCTTAAAAATTCCAAACCTCTATATTATGTATAAGAACCAAGCCAGCACATACCGGTAATTAATGCATAATGTACACATTTTTGTTTACAAATGCACAACACAAACACACACACACACACACACACACACACACACACACACACGAACACACACATACGCTCACGCACATACACACACTCACACACACACACACGCATACGGACACACATGCACAAACACACACACTACACACACACATACACCCCCTACACACACACACATACGCACACACACACTCACACTCATGTGCACAATGTATAACATGTATACACAAGGACCCTCACATGGTTTTGGTACGTTCAAAGAGCAGTTTCGTGATAAAATATCACAATAACACCCTGTGTCCTTACACCTAATTATTTCAGACTTGGTCGCAAGGTGATGACGATCGTAATGTACATGATCCTCGGGGGAAGTCTGCTTCTGTCTGGAATCTTCTCCACACTGAAAGGTAACATCTTTGAGAAGATTGTCGAAGCATTGAAAGTTTGAAACTACAACATGATAACAAAACGACAAATAAGACACAATAATAATTGATAATGCCTTAAGGACGTTAGAATCTCAAGGGAGGCTTGTTATAAAGATAGTGACAACCTTTGAAAACAATAATTTTCACGACTTGCATTGAAATACAAAATGTAAGAGAACAAGAATATATAGTTTCTTACCAAGCGTGCACACACTTACCATGACATCACAAAAGCCAGTTAGACCACTAACTTGTTGATAAACAGCAGCAGCACCACAAACAACAACAATAACGACGACGACGAAAACAACGACAGTATCAACAATAACAATAACAGCAACAACAGCAACAATAACAACACCACCAACAAGAAACAACGATTATAACAACAACAACGACAACAACAGCAGCAACCACAACAACAACAGCAACAACAACAACAACAACAAAAGGATGACAACCCAAACAACAGCCCATCATACGTACCAACAAATCTCTTTTGTTTCAAAACTCAGATCACGAACACAGTGAAACGTTTGCCAAACTGGCTCAGGCCTTCTCCCTGCTGTCCATGCTCGGAGCAAGTGGTGCGTTTGGAGCTATCTATTTCTACACACCGGAGCTCTATCCAACCAATGTCAGGTAATTTGTCAAAGTGTTTTAACGTCCCCATCGACACAATCTAGATCATTTAGGAGGCGAGCTCCCGACCCAGCCAGTCAAGGTCAACCCGGGCTGAGAGGGAGAAAACATCTCAGCAGAAAGACTGAGATACTTGATAAAAAGTTCACCCTATTCGGGACTTGAACTCGGGTCTCTTGAGTGCCTCGCCGAAGTGCCGCACCGCAGCACCATAGAGGCCCGATATTTGAAAATGAAAGTTTGTCCCTTACATAAAAGAGTTCTCCGTTTGACTTAAGCAATACTCTACCGTAAGCTAACAAAACGCCTTTTTTTTCATTCTGGCGCCATATTATTTTATTTGCTTAAATAATCGAAAGCCTGATCCGTTACTCTACTTGCAAGAAAAATGAAAGTGAAACTATGACTGGTTTTTGAACAAATTAGAATTCAAGTTTTTGAAAAACGCTTTATTTATAAATGGTTACTGTGACAAATAAAAAACAACATTTTTCTGGAAATTGCTGTGGATTTTTTTAAAAAGGTGTTTTGTCAGCTTACGGCAGTAGGCCTACTGTCGATTCCGCTTGGGTTGATCTTCGGTTAAGTCGATCATTTTCTCGGGTCCCAGTCCCAGCTCCTCTTCTTCTAAATTAACAGATCACAACGGTAAAGTTGAACTTAGGATGAGTTGATCGTTGTTTTTTTTTACTCCCTCAACAACATCAACTCATCCGTAGTCGACTGTACCTTAGCCTCGATCTCTGTTTTGCGTGTTTGTGAAAAATGTTATCAAGGAAACTTCAGAAACCGGCGCCCTCTGTGCTAAAGATACAGTTGACATTTTTAAAGACGGCCGAGCATTGTCGAGGAGAACAGTCGCCATCTTACTCGTAGAAAAGTTAATTTCTTACATTGTCATTATATATGTATTTATATGCTTTTAAAAAACGCAAGGGGGGGAATGGGAAGCAGCTGTTTGTACAATTGGTTATCTAATACAAGAGACCGTTAGAGCAGATTCGACTGTATTTTAATAGCCGACTGCGATTGCTGACATGGGCTTTGGAGCGTCCCGGTACTGTACTTTTGTGCTTCTTCTTTTACAATATATATTATTCTGCACTCTCCAGACACCATACAGTTCTTTTTTTCTTGACCCAAAAGTATATGTGTCAGTTCGTTGTTTCTTTTTCAAAAGATGGTGATGCTCCAACTCCAACAGGAAAAACAGCTTCCGGACATTCTGAAAAGTAGGCTCTTTCGTTCAGCAGTGTTCATCTTGTCCATCTGTTTATTTATAAACATATTACATCTCTTTTCAGGAACCAAGCTCTTGGAATCGCCTCAGCTGTGGGTCGTTTAGGAGGCATGCTGGGACCTTTTGCAGGGATACTGGTAGGTTGTTGTAGGGAGAAGACTTTCATCTGATTTGTGAAGTCCAAATTCATGAGATGACCTTAAGTTTGATAGTAGGTTTGTTAATATTAAGGAAAAGCTCAAGGACTCTTTTAAATCTAGAATGTCGTTTTGAGGAGGAGCACGACTTAGAGATTGTTAGGGGATGTGGAATGGGGTGGTGGGTACATCAGTTTTATTTTCTAACAACTCTAAGCTGCGTCTCTATACATGTACATGTACAATCAGTCCATCGCTTTGAATCCAACTGTTCTAAATCACACGACTGCGTTCCTTACACAACCCAGATTCGGAAAGTTCCAAGGGTTTCCTAAACTTGTATTTTTTTCATGGAGATTTGCAGTCTCTTCTAATTTCTAATTCCTCCCCCTTTCTTTCTTTGTTGATTCGTTCCATGAGTAAAATATATCACCTAGAAGTTCCGTCACTTAAACAATATCTTGTTGACGGTCTATTGTTCTCAGTGTGGTACATGTATCACATTCTTATGAGCGTCACGTGGACGCCAATAGCAGTAGAGGCGGGACGCAGGGCCCCTTTAATTTTAAGAGAACATTATTTAGAGGAACGATATTGCAGGAATGGTGAAAACAGACCCCGTTATTCAAACCCTAAACTCCCGTTAAATCTCTTCGTTTGATTTGTGTGAGAAAAGAGAAGAAGCACATTGACATAATGGCCATTTCGTGTTAGAAAAAAGACAGACAGACACACAGACAGACAGACAGACAGACAGACAGACAGACAGACACACAGACAGACACACAGACAGACAGACAGAAACAGCGCAGGGAAAAAAGAAATAGAACCTACCATTGATGCCCCCCAACCACTCTCTTTGAATCTCTCAATCTCACAAAATAAGTTCTACAGAAACAAATAAACATCCAAAATATTGTGTTGAAAGTGGCTTATACTTATAATAACTGAAAACAAAACGCATGTGTAGGTCTTTCCTTTGTTTCTTTTTATTTCTTTAAAGGCTGAGCACACGCCATGGGGACCTGGGGCAGTGTTCTTCACTCTCTCAGTACTGGTCATTCTACTGACCGCAGTGGTTCTGCCAGAGACCAAGACGAGAGAACTGCCCCAAACTCTGGACGATGTACTGGACTGGTACAAGAAACCTCGTAGTGAAACCAACAAAAAGAATGTGCCTATATAATATAAGCACAAGACATAATTTCCCTTCTGCAAGTCTGTAAATTTCTGTTTCAATTTTTGCTTCTATTTTTCTACGTTTTAACAAAACTCAAAGAAAAAAAAGTAATAATAGCCATGCCTTTACTCCCAGTGTAAACTAGAGAATAAATAAAATATACACCTACCATTATATATACGCAATCCACGTTTCCAGTATTGTGTTCTTACAAATCGCACCCTTAGAATCACAGAGTTCTAAACCTACAAAGCAAAGCTTTGAGAAAATAAGACACTCTTACAAGCTAAAATGCTTCACAAAGCATTTGTTAAATTATGTCAAACTGTAACAAAAAAATATAGGTCACATGGTCTCGAGCCTCTGACACAGTGTAGTGTACGAGGCATCTCCATGTCAATCTGTGACGTGTTAGTCAGTTCTCTCAAAAAGTGGAGCTGGAATCGTGTCAATCTATGGGCGCGAACAAGAATCATTTGAGTTTGATGAATGAGTGGAGTGGTTGTGTTAAGGTTTTGCACCCAATACCGAGATAATTTTGAGAGCAGATTGCTGGCAGCTTCGACCTTGACAATCATGGCCAACCTGTTCTGTGTGCTGTGCAGCATATTTTGAGGAGATAGATGGAAATGCTTGGTAAAACATACTTCACAACTCTTTGAAACCAAGTTCACAATTTTTTGTTACAAGCAACATTGAGGAGCCAGTGCTTTTAAATACCACAAACACAGGGTTTTCAAGAAAGACAATATGGCGATTGGGACAATCTATTCCTTTTTTTTTTTAGCTTTAGAAAAGAAAAGTACACCGACACGATAACAGTCATTTATAGAGTAGAAAAGAAGCGATATATACATGTATATAGAGAGAGACAGAAATATCAGAAGGAAAGAAAAGAAATAGGAACAATAGCGCCTTCCAGCCACTGGAATCTAGTCAAAGTCCAAGGTGATAGCAAGTTCTGCCCCTTTCAGAAATCTGTTTTGGTTGAACAAAGAACAGCAAACTGAAACAATAACAATACCCATTTAGATTTATGCTTGGAAAAAAAAACGACTGATATATACAGAAACAACCGAGGAAAAGGAAAGAAGTACCGTAGTATCCACTTGATTAGTGTCACCCTCCTAAACTCCATGGCCGGGCTTGTTCAGAGACAGTCAAGACAGAACAAAAGCTGGAAAGGATGACAAGGTCTCAAAAAACTAAACATTCAAAGAAAACTGAACGACTCAAAATATTTTAAAGCAAACGTTTTTTAATTCCTCACTTTGTCATTTGCTGCAAGCCTCACAATATCAGTTCAGTGGGTTTTCAAAAAGTATATTTATACCATGTGTATGTTTGTATCATGCATGTATGGCAAAGACAAATCACAAGATATAAAAAATGCAACTTAAATAACTTTGAGTTCTCCTCACACATTTCTAATATGTGAGACAGCGTGGTGGAATCAGGCTCTCGTCAAAATACTCAAAGCGAAGAAACTTGCAAGTTTCCGCAGGTTTATACATTTTTATCAAATTTTTGTTTTTTGGCTCAACACCTTTCATGCCTATTAAAGAACTGATCTCTGCGGGAATTTTCTGAAAAACGTTGATTAAAGGCACTAAAAATGTAAATTTTCAGTTACCACGGACTCTTAAGCTAAGAAAATAAATAATCTTTGACGGCCATTTCCTCACTAATTTTACCTCAAAATAGGTGACCTCCCCCTCCTTCTTTCGCAAATATCTTGACTTGTATTTAAGATAAATTGACATTTTTTTTCACCAAAATAAAGACAATTGAACAAGCTTTAAGATGATATAAAAAACTCTTGCCCAAAAATTGACGTGAGCCTGATTCGCTGCCTCACATATATTTGTCGGTTTCCCCCCTCCCCTCCCTTGTCTTCTGAGTCATCAAAAATAATGTTTGAATTTCCAAAAACAGTACATGTACAAGTATCAGATCAATCTCGTCAACTTTATTAACACAACTCTCTCATATAAAAAAAACGCACAAAGTTTTTATTAAACGAACAATACAGTGTAAAGTGTGCAAGAGCAAGCATGTGAAGGTGCAAGAATGTCTCTATATGATATGACCCACATACAAGAGTGTCCCGTTGTGCATTTTTGAGGAAGAAAGGCCAGTCGAGCATTTTAAAAAATGGAGTAGGGCAGGCAGAGAAAGTGACTGTAAAAGAAGGAGTTTAGTTCAAGTTAAAGTAGAGAAAAACACATCAGTAAGATGTAGGAAAAAAACAAGATCGACAGACAACAATAACATGAAGAATAAAAAATAGAATCAACCGGTACCAGTGGCACCCCCCCCCTCCCCCAACCAGCTGCAAAGAGACAATACAATGGAAGTTTGCCTTCAAACCTGCTTTTTATGACCAAACGAAGCATGGACAAACCTTTGAGTAGACAGAATTGTAGGGACCGATTGTGACGGCTCCTGTCTTGGCAACAAGCTGAAAGCACAACAGCCCGTAGATGCTCTTTGTTTTTTGTTTTAGTAAAAGTTTTCTTATGGCACTTACAAGACAATTAGGTCATGTAAATGCCGAAGACTAGTGGCATTACAAAAGAGAAAAAAACACAAAAAAAGGAGAGGAGATATTTAGGATGATAAATTTTTTATAGGAAAGAAGGAGCAAACCACACAGGACTAGAGCATCCACCAACTGCCCATTTACATTACATGCTCTTATCCCCTGAGCTCTACTAGCCACCATATAAATATGATCACAGGTAACCTCTGGCTTGGGTCTTCGTCAGACGGAAGGTATAAGTCCAGTGTGCAGTCATTTTTTTCCAAATACCAGGTTCTGCACATGAGAAACATCTTTTTTGTTTTTTTGGCAGTCAACCGACCATTTACATAAAATGAAATACCGGTACTATCAACACATTTCTTATACTGATGTAACCCCCACTCCTCCCCCAAAATAAAAAATAAATCCAACAAGGAAACAACTTTTTTCATTGTCAGCAATTTTTAAAAAATCCTTCAAGAAATACTGGTAAATGTTATGTCATATCAATATATAGACAAAAAAGGTAAACAAAAAATTATTTTTTTAGAAATGCTTTTGTGACCCTCAATTATATCTGTACATAGCTTTTATGTTTAATGTCACAACAAATGTAAAAACACCCTGGTGACCCTTGGTCTATCTCTGATGCAAGTGAGCTGACAGTGTGACTGCAACGCTCATATTTTTTTCAGTTTTGATCCCTTGTAAGTTTTGCACCTTTGACATAAAATATGCCCAAAGAAATACACAGTACTTCGTTAAGTTCATAGTTGATAATAAGTTCAAAACAAAAACAAGAAAAATGTACACAAACAAGAAGAAAGCAAACAAAAATTAAAATACAGACACAAAGTGTTCCCACATGATAACACTATTAACACAGTAGGACATGGCTATAGCGGCACCCGCTGCAGCTGGACCATATATACAGCGGGACTTTACCGGAATCCCCTTTTTTTCTATGAAAACTCAGTTACCTGTGCTTGGGTTTAACAGTACTTACAGGACAAGAAAAGGTCTAAACTTGGATACAGCGGGAGAGATCGAGCGAGCTCTAGCTGGGGGGAAACGGGGTTGGGGGTGGGGGGATGTAGGTGGGCACCAAACAGGTAGTCAGTGGTGCGGCGTTATGGTTGGCCAATCCAGTGATGAGTGAGGTGGGGCAGGCGGCAGAGAGTGAGGTGGTGCGGAGGGATGTGTTATGTAAGCCACTTCAAAAGTGATGTTCCATAGCCTTAGGCCTAGACTAGGCCAAATAGTAAAAGAAGAGGAGAGCGCGTAGTGTGTGATTCCCGATACATTGAATTGCAATCGTTGAAGCTCAGGCATACATACACATCCTCTTCACCAGTTCTACAGTAGGTCTACAGGAATGATAGACAGCACAATCAACAAGACCGAGGAATAGATGGCTTCCAACAAAGACAAAAGGAAATGCTTCTCACTTGAATTAAAAGGCCGAGATAATCAACGAGGGTGACAAGAAAAAGGAGACTAACCTAAAGTAATGAACGAGTTCTACTGAATATGGAAGGGAGGTAATAAGGTGGATTTTAAGGAATTTTTCCGTAAGTCCTCTTTGTATTCCATAGCGGGAACTTGCCTAAAGCGAAATTTTTCTTCTGGAACCAAAAGTCCAGCTATAGTCATGTCCTACTGTATTATTACTAATGGACCAAATCCATAAAGTAGTTTTTCACCAAGAGGAAGTCAATGCTTGTTATACCAAAAAACATTTAACATTTTTATGTCTTCTCAAATATCAAGTTGCTATAATTTTGTGTATAATACTGTATGGTTCAGAGACATGGAGGCTCACAGCATCAGCACCAAGGAAACTGCAGAGCTTCGTAAATGGATGCCTACGAAGGATAGTGGGGATCAAGTGATACGATCGAGTCACTAATGCTCAACTGTGGGAGAGAACAAGCCAAAGGCCAATAAAGGAAGACATACAGGTGAAGAAATGGAAATGGATTGGACACACCCTGAGGGACCCCCGTCAAGCATCATCAGGCAGGCTTTAACGTGGAACCCACAAGGAAAACGAAAGAAGGGAAGTCCAAAGATGACATGGAGACGAGCGGTACAAGCTGAAATTGAAAAAGCGGGGACATCATGGAAACAGATAGAAAAGGATGCTCAGGACAGGCTTCGCTGGAGTAATGCTGTTGATGGCCTGTGCTCCACTGGGAGTTAAAAAGGGCAAGAGAGAGAGAGATAATTTTGTGGTTTTTTATTGTTTTGTTTTTTCACAAAAATGTTAAAAACTAGAATTCAACATTCAATAAATATAATTATCCCTTGAAATTCATACTTTGAGAGAATACTATCATAATAAAGAATAACGAGTACTATCAATAAAGAGAAAGCACACTCACATAAAATGGTCACCTTGTAAACTCTCCGAGGGTTTGCACTTTTTTAAACTTCAGGAAAACGGACAGAAATTTTCTTCTATCTTTCAGCGCATCTGAAGAGAAAAGTAATTCAAGCCCATGACCTTCTTGGGGCTTAGCTTAATAAAGCCCGTCTGTACTTGTGCTTTGTCTGTGGCCAGCCATGAAAAATGTTGCTGACCATGTCGTGTTTGTATACACACACACAAGTACAATGAATGATCGACAACAGAACACAGCGGATAAGGCACAGAGGTTTAATGGCTCATGTTGCGGATGGCACACTCAACTCAAAGTGCGAACAGGAACAAAGCCATTTAGCGAAACTAAAAGCGAGAACGTAATTAGGTCACTGGAACACAGGAAGCAACACAATGAGGTCGTAGTACGGTAAACATTAAAATATCATGACATCCCCTTTTCTGTAAAGAAAATAAATTATATGATCTATACCGGTGTATATAAACGTAAGGATTGAAGTTCTCCTAAGGGTAGATGTAATGCAATGTTAAGTTACTGATTTGGGGATTATATAATTAGCCTCCATGGTACATTTATTCTAGTAAATTAATTAATGTCAAAATGTCTGTGTATAGAGTTCTATGGAGATAGTGTCCAATAGACAGAGTTCTAATTGTCATTGGATAGATTTCCACACTTGTTCATGTTCATGTGACGAGGACTTCATAGTCATGCACATCAGGACCAGGTAGTCTTTTGAAGCTGAAAAAATAAATATATATGGCCATATATATTCCCTTCCTAGTGTGTTGTTCATTTGTGAGAATTGAAACCTCTTTCCTCTTCCATTTCTTTTGATCTGTACCTGCTGTTTGCATGGGGTAGTATGATTTCACTTGTTTATGTAGGTGTTTGTGAACTACACATCTACATGTTTGCATAGAAATGGCATCAAGCTAATCCTTTTGACCATTCTTCCTCCATTTAATGAAAAAAATTAAAAGACGTGGAGGGTTTTCCGAAGAGTATAAATTTGAGGTTTTTAAAATAATTTTTTTTTTAAAAAGATCGAGGCGTAGTGGAGCGTTGATCTTTCTTCCGCTTCTTCTGGGTGCAGGTGGTGATAGTAAAGGGGCAGGTTGTGACTGTAAAGATGCAGCTTGTTCTGTCACCGGGGGATGTGCAGGTGGGTCAGTTGGTGGTACACGTTGAACTTGTCTGGAAGAAGGAACAGAATGGATTTGGCTTCTGTTCCTGTGTACGTCTCGTGTGTTGTGCTGATTTATGACATACGATCTTGGGGACGAGACTTTTTCGGTGACGATTGCAGGTTCCCAGTTTTTTGTTTTTGGGATTTGTACTGTCACATGTTCGTTTCTTGATAAAGGCGGCAATATCTTTGTGCTTTGGTCAAAGTGGTACTATTGTGTTTCCTGCCTTTTCTCTAGTCCTTTCTCAATTTGTTCATTGTTAGCAGCGCGATGTATCTTTCTTGGCATTGTGTCTCGCAGTTGTCTGTTGAAAAGCATTTGTCTAGGAGAAGGTAAGCTGTTGTTGATTGGTGTTGTTCTAAGAGCAAGAAGGCTCAGGTATGGGTCTTGGGATGTTTCAAAAAGCCTTTTTTAAGGTACGTTTCACGAGTTTCACTTGGCTCTCGATGAAACCGTTACTTTTTGGATAATGGGGTGAACTTGTTTTGTGCTGGAATCTATAAGTTGTTGCAAATTCTCTGAAGGCAGTTCCGCTGAAATGTGGTCCATTGTCAGATCGCACAATTTCTGGGATTCCATGCTCACTGAAAGCTTGTTTCAAGAAGGTGATAACTCTTGTTGTGCCGTTGCTGGTGTCTTTTGACACTTTGCTGACAATCGGAAACTTCGAATAGTAGTCGCTGATGAGAAGGTATTCATCGTCATTCAGGTAGAATAGATCAGTGCCTATGGTGTGCCATGGTCTAGGTGGTATCTCTGATAGGATGAGGGGTTCTTTTTGTTGACTTGCCTGGTGTTTTTGGCACACTTGGCATTCTGAGACTGTTAGGTCTATTTCTTTGTTGATATTTGGCCAAAAAACTGTCTGTCTGGCGCGGAGCTTTGTTTTCTCTGTACCAAGATGTGGTTCATAGAGTTTCTTCATAACCTCTTCTTTCATAGATTTAGGGATGATTATCCTTGATCCCTTGATGAGAATTCCATCATCAATGGATATTTCATCCCGATAGTTCTAGTAGGCTTTGCATTGATAAGGTACATCTTATTGTTTCTCTGGTCAGCCAAAGTAGAGTAAGTCTTTCAGGGCCATCAGTTCTGTGTCTGTGGCGATAGCATCTTTTATACGTTGCAGATAATTTCCACTGAACAGTGTCGCTATAGTGTGGATCTTGACATTCAGGCCCTCTATTAGTTCCTTCTCATTTCCAGGGAGTCTGGACAGGGCGTCAGCGATAAGCATCTGTTTTCCTGGTTTGTAGATGAATTGGAAATCATATGGTTGCAGTCTTAGTAGCATTCTCTGGAGTCTGGGGGGTGCTGCCTTGAGATGCTTTAGCTGGATCGACTGGAGAGGGCGGTGGTCAGATTCAACTTCGAATGTCTGTGCGTACAGGTATGTATGGAACCGTTCACACCGGTATACCACAGCGAGGAGTTCATGTTCGATGTTGGCGTATCGCGTTTCTTCATCTGTGAGGGTTTTGCTGGCAAATGCTACTGGCTTACCATCTTGCAGGAGTGTAGCACCAAGTGCTTTCATGGATGCATCTACTTGCAATGTGATTGGTTTTTCCGGATTGAAGTAGGTGAGCATGACCTCCTTGTAATTGAGTCCTTGACCTTCTGGAAAGCATTTTGGTGGTTAACTGTCCACTCAAACTTGTTCGACTTGGAAAGGAGTTCTCTTAGTGGTGTTGAGAGCTGGCTGATGGTTTGGATGAAGGGGCCCATGTATGTCGCTAGACCCAGGAAGGATTGTAGCTCTTTCTCATTTTCTGGAGCTTTCATAGCCTTGATGGCTTCGACCTTTGCTGGGTCAGGCTCGATCCCTTCGCCTGTGCAGATTATGCCGTAGAACCTGAAGTGGTTTTCCTTGATTCTGCATTTGTCTGGGTTCAGCTTGAGTCCAGTTTCCTTACACCGAAGTATCATGTTCTGTAGGTTTGCGTTATGTTCTTCTGCAGTTTTCCCAAACACCACGATATTGTCTGCAAAGCCAATCATACCTTTGCAGCCTTCAAATGTCTGATCAATTTTCGCTTGGAAAACGTCTTGGCTCATTCAAAGTCCAAAGGGCATTCTTAGAAATCGGTATCGGCCAAATGGAGAATTGAATGTGGTCAGATAACTTGAATTGTCATCAAGCTCAACGTTCCAGTATCCACATTTTGCATCAAGTATGGAGAAGTACCTTGCTCCGCAGAGGTGTGGCAAAATTTCTTCCAGAGTTGGTGTGGTGTGATGCTCCCTCAGTATTGCTTTGTTGAGGTCTTTGGGGTCTAGGAAAAGACATAGCCATCCCGATGGTTTCTCTCTGTATACCAAGCTGTTCACCCAAGCTGTACGTGGGTTCTCCCACCTTGATTCTCTTGATGATTCCCATTGTTCCCATCTCATCCAGTTCTGTCTTTTGTCCTTTAGTTTGAGGGGTATTTTCCTTTGTGGATGGGTGGCCTTTGGGACTGTGGGTCTATATGAATGTGGTATTTTCCTTGAAACTTCCCAATTCCATTGAAGGTGTCAGGGTATTGGGTCATCAGGGAGGCTTTGGGATTTTCTAGAGTTTTGTGAGGGTTGCTTTTGGGGCTAGATCCAGCATTTGCAGCATTCTTGGATCTGTCTTGCAACTTCATTTCTAGATTTATGCTGACCAGTCATGGAAGTTGGATGCCAAAGGTTGCGAAGGCTTTGTCCTCTGTTTTCACTGAGTTCATTTTGAGTGTCTCAAATGTATATATTCTTCCCAATCATCTTCTTCCTCCTCATCTCCTATCTCGATTTTGCGGGTCTTCTGATTATTGTACTTGAGTTTTCTGCACATCTTTTTGAAATGTTGCATTAAAATATCATGACAGACGATTGGTACAGTGTAGGGAATGGCAACAGCTGCAGTGACTAGCACTAAGGCTCTGCGAATGCTTCTGAAGAACATTGTTCCTGTGAAATAGTAAAAGTAATAGAAGATTATTTTAGTCTTTTTTATGTCCTGAGCTCACAATTGTTAATAAAAAACAAAGCACACTTCTGCAACTTCTGGGTACTTACTTATTATATCCAGCATGCATGCAGATTTTTATCCTTTTCGTTTTGAATAGCCTTACAGAACCCAATCCTCCTGACCCGAACACATGAAAAAATCGTTGCTTTTTAGCAACACTTTATGCATGCTCGATAAAAATAAAAAGATGAAGAAAAGTACATTTAATTGTACACTTTATATATATATTTTTTTTCTACAAAGCATAGAAGAACAGAACCCAATTTCAAAGTTAAAAATCCAACCCTTGGTCTGTGTGATCAAAACTGTTAGCTTACACTGTTACCTGTCTTGTAAGATCAATAAATAGCAAGGCTACATCAGCGGCCTCTACACAAAAACGTTTGCTGACATAGCAAGTTAGGCTAGTCAACCTGCCAGCTAGCTACGAGTGTTCCATACACACAATACCATTGAAAGAAGGTAAGTTTTTATTTTATAGATAAACTTTTCTGATTCGAAAGGGAAATTTTGAGCAGATCAGAAAATCAACATGATACAAAGATTCAGTATCAAAACAGTAGCAGAAATGCACTCATTACAATCATTTTCAATGATACAAGACAGACAACCATGCACAGTTGAGTTGAGTCACACAAGTGAGTAGGTCTACCAAACAGAGTGTCAATGGGCCTGAATTGATCTCTCTAATTCTCTCACTATATATCTCTCTCTCTCTCCCCTCTCTTTCTCTGCAAACACTGGGCCAAACTGTCTCCATCCCTATACAAGGAATATCTGGCCAGAAGGGCTAGTTACATAATGTTGCAGGGACAGAACTACGTACCCTGGCTAGGCTACAAGAGGCTGCCATGTGACACAGCAGCAGTGGCCTTTGTTTGACACTATCAGTACAGCACAGGGCAACTGTAGTGGAAACAACCTGAAAGCTCCAACTATAGTTGGTTGACAAAAACTTCAGGTAAAATTATAGCTTTACTTGTTCATTTTGAAACTAAAAAGAACAGCATCCTATAAATGAAGAGAAGAACAAAAAATTAGCCAGTCAGGTGAAAGATAGATCTAGATAGATCTAGATCACTAGATCTAGATCTAGAGTCTAGAGGGACATGACTTTGGCATTAATTGTCACTGTCAGTGATAGAGGTAAAGGAAAAGCTAGTTTAGGATTTCTAGTCTCAACAAAGACAAAGACTAAGTCAGTCAGCTGGAATAACCACGAAACTAACAACTCAAAATATCTTGAATTCGACAAGAAACACAATTGAATGCAACAACAACTTACTTTAGAGAAACCTCAACACTGTTTCCGACCGGGACTAGATTCTAGATCTAGATCTAGATCTATTTGACTTTGCAAAGCAGCAAGTGGGACACGTCAATTTCAAACGCAATTCAAAAAAATCCTGTTTGTTTACATTCTTGCAGGTCGCCATCTTGTTTATGAAAAATATGAACTTTGAACTTTGAACCAAACGAAGTCAGGAAAAGGAAAACAGGATACATCATTTCCGGTCGAAAGTGAAAGTAAGTTACAACCTCTACGAACCCTACATTAATCATAATAAATGTATTGCCGATCGTTTTTAAAGCATAAATCTCATTCGTCGTTGCTTAAAAGTTGTAACTTGCATGAAAGACTGAAATACACTACTCTTGTTTCTGTAGAACGCTCTCTCTCTCTAATCCCTCCTT